GGCGGGTGCAGGCCACGCGCTTGGCCGCGCTGGAGGCCGGTGCAGGCCACGCACGGCCGCTGCGGCCAGGGTGTGGGAGCGAGGCGAACCCCTTCGCTGGCTTTTACTGGATTTGGCCTCGATGTGGCGTACTTGGGGCCCCAACCAGAGAACTGTAAGCATAAAGCCACTTGGTGCGCCGCCACGTTGAATTATCTCATTGCAGTGAAAATGCCATCATTTCACTAAACTTAATGGCAGGGTGTGGTGACACACTTGTCATCCCAGAATCTCAGGCAGGTTCAAGGCCGGCCTGGGCTACAAGGGGAGATCTTGTCTCAAAACAAAGCAAAACTGTTACCAGCTCCAGGATCTTTGATGCTGAGCCAGACTCGGGTTTACTTGCTTGGATGCAGACTTCAGAACGAGTCTCATACACATCTGCTTCCCCGTGGAGGTTAGGGCTTTTTGGGCTGAGATGGAGGAAAGGCCACGGACATTAGGAAATAGCTGATGAATGCGCAGTCACGTTTCATTGTCACCCCCCCCCCCACACACACACACACAGGTGTTGTCTGTGTTAGGTTTTTCGGCAGTAAAGAGATAAGAAAGATAAGAGCCTTCACTAACTCCAAAGACAAGGAGAGGATGGGGGCAGATGCGGTAGGTCCTCTGGCCTGAGACAAAAAGCTGTGACTGTAACGGACTTTTGCTGGGATGGAGTTAGAGGGTCAGTTCCAATTACACGTAAGGAACTGCTTGGGGTCTCCTGTGTGCACAGGAGAGGAGAAGGCAATTATATCCAGGACTGGGTTGAGAGAGAAGTGGTCGCTGGACAGATGACCTGTTGTTCCAAGTGCTTCAGCTGTGTTAGATGGCCACCATAATAATTCAGCAGTTCGTAGTAGGGCCAGAACCTAAAGCCAGATGTGTGGCACATACCTGTAATCTCAGCAGTGAGGTGGCTAAGGCAGGACGATCGTTGTGATTATGAGACCAGTCTGGGCTACAAAGTGAGCTCAAGGCCAGCCTGAACTACATAGCGAGACCCTGTCTCAAAAATAAATAAATAAATAAATAAAATAATAAAATGAATGGTAACCCCACCCCGTATGTACTAAGGGTGCAACCCAAGACCTTCAGACTGAGCTACTTCTCCAGTCCTTTTTTTTTTTCTCTCTCTCTCTCTCCAGTCCTTTTTAAAAACAATGTCTAGGCCTGAGGAGATAGCTTGGCGGTCCAAGTGCCTGCCTGGCAAGCACAAGGACCTGTGTTCAATCCCTAGAGCATGCAGGCCACAGATACCCGGTGTGGTGGTGCAAGCCTGTAATTGCAGTGTTGGTAAGGCTGTGACAGGAGGATCATTCTCAGTCTCAGCTGCATAGGGAAAACCTGTACCAAATAAATAGCGCCGGCCAATAGCTCAGCGGATTTAAGCCCCTGCTTAGGCAGAGCCCAGTGGACAGGGTTCTATCCCTGGCATGCTGTGCGGGCACCACCCCTGGAACTCTTGGAGACAATCAGATCAAGATTGGGCGTGGTGGTGCATGTCTGTAATCCCAGTGCTTGGGAGGCTGAAAACAGGAGATTCACTATGAGTCCGATCTACGTAGTGAGACCTGGTAGATTCTGTATACCTAGTCCTAAATACATTTAAGAGAAAAACATTTTAAAAAATGTTTAGACAGAATCTCACTAGCTTTGTTAGCTTGCCTATGCTGGCTTCAAACTTGGATTTTTCCTTAGCCTCCTAAAATGTGGGGTGATTATATAGATAGGCCACTGCACCTAGCTTAAAATTGATGACTCTAAAAGTCCACTAACGTAAGGATGAGAAGGCCAGAGATCTAGTTCTGGCAGAGCTCCTGCTGCAAATTGGAGACTCTGGGTTAGATCCCAAGCCCTTCAGGAAAAAAAAAAAAAAAAAAACCAAAAAAGCAGGAAAAGCAGTTGTGGGCTAAATCTAAAATGTTTATTTAGATTTTTGTCTTGGTTTCATCATGACCTATCAAATATTCTTTTATGAAAATGTTCAAGCGGGGCCGGGGAGATGGCTCAGTAGAATAAGCGCTTTCCTGGCAAGCCCAAGTGTCTGTGTTCAATCCCCGGTTCTGCAAAAAAAAAAAAAAAAAAAAGCTCAAGCATATAAAAAAGATGAACTGTATCGTGGCTATTTCCTTACTATTATTTATTTTGGAGACAGGGTCTCTGTAGTTCAGGCTGGCCTTGCACTCAGGGCAATCCTGCCTCAGCCTCTTGAGTGCTGGGACTATAGGCATGTGCCACCACATCTGGCTTTCTCTACTGTCTGTAACTAATATTTTGTTAAATCTGTTTTTCCCTGTATCCATATATTTATGTAATCCTCTTATCAGTCTTGTATTTTTAGATAAAAAATTTCAGTGACAGTTACCCTCATCCCTAGACAGTTCAGTATATGCATTGATCATTGGTAGCACTTGATTTCAGTTTTGTTTTCTAAGTAAAATCCATATAGTATGGTGGTAGTGACACACTTGTGATCCTGGTGCTCTGGGAGGCTGAGGCAAGAGGATCACAAGCTGGAGCCCAGCCTCGACAACTTAGGGATTTATCCAGACCCTGTCTCAAAATTTGAAAAAAGATTTATTTATTTTTTTTTTCTTTTTTATTTTTGGCATTCCTCTTATTTCACTGTCTATAAATTGTTCAAAGCATTCTTAGACTTTTAATTATAGTAATAGAATAATTTGTCACATTAACATTATAATGTATGGTATGTTTAAAAAATTAATTTAAAAAATTAATTTAGGGCTGGTGAGATGGCTCAGTGGTCTAAAGCACCTACTTAGAACAAGCTTCGCAAAGCACAGGGACCGCGGTTCAATCCCCCGGCCCCACATGCCAGCCAGCCCCGCCCCCTGGTGGGCTGAGCTGGACACACACACAAATAAATAAAATTAAAAATTAAAAATTAAAAATTAATTTAAAAAATGTATTTATACTACCTGGCAGGGGAGATACCATGATCACGAAGGTGGTTTTCCCAGGGTGAGGCTCATCCATTGCACTCTGGATGTGCTGACCCCTGCGATTTCCCCAAATGCGGGAAACTGGACTGCATAATT